AGCTCGTCTTGACGGTCTCATCGGTAGGGGTTGATGATGATGAAGCTCTCGGCTTGAAGTTGCTTGTAGTAGGCGAAGCTTTCTTGGAAGTCGACTTGTCGATGCTGGAAGTAGACGGTCTTGTAGTCGGTATTGGAGTCGTTGAAGCTTGGTTATTGGAGAAGCCGTAGGACTTGGATGAGAACTTGGCATACTTGAAATCATCTTGCACTTGGCGTTCCCCTTTGGTAGCTTGGTGCACGAGCTCGATGAGATTTGAGTATGGTTGGAAGTCGGCGATCTTCTTGATAGGATGATTGAGTCCATTCAAGAAACGTGCCATAGTTTGCTCATCATCTTCCGTCACATTGGCTCTTATCATTGCAATCTCCATCTCCTTGTAGTATTCTTCAACGCTCTTGGTTCCTTGCTTGGGTTGTTGGAGTTTCTTGAAGAGGTCGCGGTTGTAGTAGGTAGGCACGAAGCGTGCTCTCATGACATCCTTCATTTGTGCCCAAGTAGTGATGGGTGGACCACCTCTTGCCTCGCGGCACTCAATGACTTGTTCCCACCAAATGAGGACGTAGTCTTGGAACTCAAGGGATGCCATCGCGATCTTCTTCTCTTCTTCATAATTGTGTAAACGGAAGATCTTGTCAACTTTCAATGCCCATGAAAGGTATTCTTCGGGATCGTTGCTTCCGTTGAACTTGGGCATGGTGAACTTGAGCTTGCCGTAGCGTTGCTCTTCATTGTGTTGGGGTCGAGGATGATGACGCCCATGTTGAAGATGATTGTCCAACTCGTGGTGCTCTTGACGCGGAGGGTTGTCAACCTCGTGTTGCTCTTGTCGCGAAGGATTCCCATTGTTTTCATGCTCTTGATGAACTTGATGGTCTTGGCGAGCTTGTGGAGGAACGCGTCGAGCTCGAGGGGGAACTAGACGGTGCATGCGAGCTTGAAATCGTCGCTCGTGAATTTCTTCGCGAAGTGCTTCCTCTTCTTCACGAGCTTGTCGGCCTCGGTCGGCAACGGCTCGACTCGCATCGCGTAGAGCTTGTTGCGCCTCAAGTGCTTGATCGTCATGGTGTTGTTGTTCTTGACGTTGAGCCTCGCATCTTGTGCATTTTGGTGTAGACGCACGCGTTCTTCCTCTTCATGTTGGCGTTGTTGTTGCCATTCTCGAGCTAGCGCAAAGGCTTCTTCGGCTTGACGTCGTCGGCGCTCTTGAGAGTCGGTATCCCGAAGCGGATTGAGGTTTGCTTGACGGTCGGTGCGCGCGGCTCCACGAAGAGTGTTCGATGTCGGTGTACTTGAGTCGGAATGGCGACTTGAACGGCTCCTTCTTGAAGTGGAAGAAGAGCGGTTGAGCAACAAAGCGCGAATCTCGTCCATCCTTGCGCCATTCTCTTGTTTGTGATCGTCGAGCTTGTGGTCGAAGTAGTCCCTTGTACGTTGCTCGGAAAGTCACAAGTCGGCGGCAAGGTTGTCGATGCGTTCACTCATAGCTTGTTGCTCTTGATGCAAAGCACGTTGTGCACCAAAGAGATGACTCTTGGTGACGAAGGAGTTCATGTCGTCGTCTTGCTCCATGAAGAGTGGATTGGTAGAAGTACTTGGCCTATCCATCATTCCAAGACAAATGTGAGTGGTAGAAAGAGAGGAACGAGTACCAAATGTACCTTGACCGAAGTTGAAAGTGGATCGAGGATCACACCAATGTAGGACAAGGAAATAGCACAATTGGTACGAGTTCTTGTCGGTTTCTCACACCTACACAAGTAAAAGCTTTTGGTGGAGCTTGGTTAGGATGGTGGCACAAAATTTGATGTAATTGTAAGTGAGGTTCAATAATGTTGGAAAAGATTTGCAAGATGCAATGTAACAAGTAGACCAAGCATATAGGGTACACGGAAACACACACACAAAAAGATAAGTGGGGTTGTGCAACCAAGGGTGAGCCAAAATGTGGAATCCACAAAAATACTCTTGTTGCACAACACTAGAGAGACGCTAGCACGATTGCACGATAGGCGGGTACAAGAACTTGTGCACAACCTACTTAGCAAAAATGCAACGACTTCTATCCCAAATATTTTGAATGCAAGGTGTTGCTATGATATGATCCAAGATGATCGAGTATGACAATCTTAATGTTGTATGATGCTATGGTTCTTGCTTAAAAACTCTTTGCTTATCTTTCCTCTTTGCTTAAAAGCTTGGTTGGCTCTTTGATGTTTGAGCTCTTTTCTCATGCAATGCTTGACGAACCAAGATAGCAAGTGAGTATGCGATGACAACTTTGTGACACAAGAGATGATACCAATATAGGCAACAATGATGTATGTATGTTATGGGAAGTATGATCACTAATGTGCACAAGTCTCGTTGCCGGCAATACTCAATGACTAGTCTCGATGGGTAAGCAACGCAAAGGAGTAAGGCTATGATGGCTATCAATGTAGTGGCAAGAGTGATATGTCCAATACCAAGATGAGGTTACCGGTCTTGCTTCCGGTATGGTGTCAAAATGGTGGCACGAATACCAAGTCGTAGTCGAGGTGGTCGTTGTTGATGACGCGTCCGTGGCGGAGATGAGCAGCGGTGATGTCGATGTCGAACCGTACCTAGATAGCCGAAACACAAAAGGATACGGTACCGCAACTCAAATTCTCAAACTTCAAAGTAGCAATTGTGTCGGAGAGCGAAACGGTCTAAAAATAGTTGGGTTATGCGGGAGTGGAGGAGGTATGAGGAAGTATATATGGTATATGGTGAGCACCGGAACAAAATTTGGTGGAATTTGGGCGGAGTTGTGGAAGTAGTGCGAACTTTCTGTCGAAGCCGGAAGTTCCGGGCAAGACGGAGGGTCCGAGGTCCGGAGGTTCCGGGGAAGGCCCGAAGGTCCGGGGGCCGGAAAGTCCGGGCTGGACCGGAAGTTTCGGTGGTTGGGATTCCAAGAACAGAGACTTCAGGATCGTGGATTTGGGCAGAAAAACTGGGGGAAAGGCCCAAATCCGAAGGGGAAAAAGAAGAAATTGGAGGAAAAGAAAGGTGGGGAGGCTAGATCTACAAGCCACACACAAAATTCACGGATCAAGACCAACAAAATCTCAACACACGAACAAATCACAAAAAAAAATTGGGGCTATTTTTGGTGGGGATTTTCGGATTAGGACGAAAAACAACAAAATTAGGCTAGAAACACAACGGGGAGGCTCCGAAATCATGATCAACCTTGCTCTAGATACCAAGATGATGTAGGGTAGAACCCTAATCGCCCGATCTTTCACGAAAGGAGCGGATCCTGTGAAGAACACGAGGAAGGAAACGAGGGAAAACACAAGGGGAAACACAAGAGGAACACTCAAACCAACAAGAATAAGTCACACATGTGCTAGATCCTCGGATACATAGAACGATACATGAATCCACGGACAACTAAGGACGATACAAAAGGGTAGCCGGTTCTTCTCCGTGAGGTCTTGAATCCACGGGGGGATCTTCTCCGCGAGGAGGTCTTGAATCCAAGTGGATCTTCTCCGAAGAGGGGTTGCGGTCTCTCTCGTCGAGTAGATCCGGATGGATGAGCGAAGCTCTATCTCTCAAATGAGCTAAACCAACGCTAACCCTAGAAAGTTGTACGGGATAGAGTATATATAGTCTAGGTGACGAAAGGGTACACGGGCCTCGGCCCAAGAGGCTGCGCGCAGGCAGGGCCGGAAGTTCCGGGCGCCGGGGGTTCCGGGGAGGGTCCGGCCTAACCAGAGAGTTGGCACGGAGGAGATGTGCTGGCATCCGGGGGCCGGAAGGTCCGGGCCGGCCAGAGGTTCCGGGCGCCGGAAGGTCCGGGACGAGGTCCGGGCTAACCCGAGAGTTGGCACGCCTGGGCTGGTCGAAGTCATCGGCGGCCGGAAGCTCCGAGTCAGCCGGAAGGTCCGGGGACCGAAAGTTCCGGGCTCTGGCCGAAAGTTCCGGTCTGTCCAGAGTGTTGACGCATGTCTCTTCATCTACAGTCCTCGGCTCCGAGTCTTGAGCGTTGTACCTGATGACACATAGTATCTCGGACTTAGGCAGTAGCCATGTCTCACTTGAAGAGGGAGAAAACTCAAGTAGGAGTGATGTCACCTCGGATTGAATAGCACGTGCCCTAGCCCTTATCATTGGTCCACTTGGAGCTTGGATAATTGATGTGGCGTCTATGGGGATGGTCGTGGGATGCTCCGCATAAGCCTTGTGATAGATGTACCATGGCAAGGCGATTTATCAAATCGTTCCACGATGCAAATCAGGGGCCTATTAAATCTCATCTGAATGTCACATTCGGATGAATGGATTCCAGAACCACCATGGCGATAGTATCACCCTTATGATAGAACAATATTATATAAAGCTAGATATTGTTTTCGGAGTGTGGCATTACCTAGTGACTTGTCCTCCCAAAATCTAATTTCCAAACCATCTTTTTGATAGAGAATGATCCATAGAGAAAGAAATATCTTCGTAGCCATTAAACCAGCCCAAAAGTACGAGTCCTCAGGCCTCCAATATACTGGAACACTGCCTTTGAGCCAACATATTTTCTCATTATGAGGGTTTGTCATACACCATCTTTCGTCAGTAGCTTAAACAACCACTTACTGAGAAGGGAAGTGTTCTTAACTTTAAGGTCACAAATACCCAACCCCCCTTGGTCTTTGGGACGGAAATTCCCAATGCTAGCACAAAAAAAAAGGAGCAAAAGGCTTGAAAACGTAAACGTCTACTTGCAAATTATGCAAACGGAAGGACTGGACAAATGCAATCTCCGAGCAATGTTTGGTCATTCATGTGAAAGACATCAGCTGACCTCACATGGCACATCAAACGGCACCGAACCCTTTGTACAACAAAATATTCCCTCAAGAGTCGAGATTAATGAAATAAGCCTTTCGAGAAGCATTAGTTGCAACAGTTTCAGTTCTGATTTACCAGCATAGACGGAGATATTGGAGCAAAAGCGAGATGACCACATGGACGCATCATATGAGGGTTGATGAAACTGTTGATGCCTCAGCTATCAACCAGAGAGGTTGGCGTGCTTGAAGACAAGCACCAATATCGAAGGGGTGTAATTCAACTCCGTCAAAGATAAGGTTTAGTCCTGGCAAGGTTACATCCTTGCTGTGTGCATCTTCTTGATCTGGCTTTCCTTCATGGGTGGATGACTGTTCGTCAGAGATGTGTTTGGTGGTAGCCTCTTCCTGCTCCGGAGAGAGTGAATATGACCTTTTGAGGTTCACAACATTAGTCACAAATAAATAAACATGAGAAGAATATGAAACATATGACATGAAACCATAAATTCACAAATACTTCCTCCATTCACAAATATAAGATGATTTGGATATTTCAATATGGATTACATACAGACTGAAATGAGCGAACAAACACACTAAAACATGTATGTATACATCTAATTCACAAAAAAGTTAGAACTCTTATAGTATTTGTGAACAGAGGAAGTACCTGACAGTCCTCCCATCAAAGCCCACAACTTCTGTGCCGCATCTCTGTCGGACAGCAAGTTTTAGCCTCTCGTGTTCACTTGGGGTTCTTGTGTTGGTTGGTGCTGAAGGATCATTTGCTGGATCCCATCTGCTACTAATACTATTGATTAAAGTGCGAGGTAGATCCCTTGAGCTTCCCCTCTTGTTATATAACTTAGCTACTGGTCCAGTTGCTTGATATTCACTACAAAGTTCTCTGAGACGCCTCCTTACATTTTGCATCACATCATAATGTTCAGTGAGATCATCTTTCTGAAGTATACGAGACGCAACCACCCTTTCACAAATCCTCTCACATAAGTTTGGATTGAACAAGGGAATTCCAAACTCCAAACTCAAGGGCACCCACTGGTAACTTGCATTTTCTGGGTGAAACTTATCCGATTCGACAAGATTGTTAAGTCTTAATAGACGAAGGTAGCCAAGCGTGGTCAACTGAAATTTACTGGATAGGTCTTTCAGTACTGAGGTCAAATTAAAGACCTGTTCCTTTGGCAAATTCGCTTGAGCTACCACAGATGCAATTGAATGATCATCATTCTTCAGGGGTAAAGGGATATCTACTGTGACAAGGCTTCCTGATGCGTTGAGATCATCTATTCTAAGCGGTTGCACTAACACGGCAGATTGCTTCAACATCGAGTTCAAGCAATGTAAGAGTAGATTGCCCTTGACCAAATTCCCTTCAAACTTCCCTCCTAGTCCACCAACCATAGAGCCATCCCAAGACCATAACAATGCTTTTTCACAACCAGCTAATGGTTCAGGAAGCAATCTGAAGCGTTGTCCTTTCAAGAAAACAGCAGATAGTGGTCCAGAATGGCCTGCAGTATACAATACTAGCTTCATCCAAGGTGTCATCGCAGAATAAGAGGGTGGACCAAAATGAATCGTGCCTGAAGGACCAGGAAGAACTGATGAAGAAGGAAGAGGAACCATTGACACAATAATGTCATAGTCACGGAGAAATAGCCGTTCTAGTGTTGCTGGAGCAAGTGAAGCAAGGCTCTCACATCGGAGGACATCAACAGTGTACTTCCTTTTTATCATCAACACATTGGTGCCAGTTGAGTCATTCTGAGCCTCAATTCTAACCATGTTTTCCCCACGTTCTGGTAAACCCATCGACACTGATGATATATTCTCATCTTTATTATCTAAAACACCAGTAGAGCAGTTATGCTGGGGCACTTTACCAAGGCCATCCTCAGCTCTGTCCTCGATGTTTGCATTGGCCAGATAGGCTGTAACATTTTCATGCAATAAATTTGTTGGAGTCTTTGTTTCACCATCTTTATCAGTACTATCATCGGTAGAAACTCCACCGGACTTTAAGCACTCGAGGGACCACCGCAGACTGAATGCATGATTAGCAAACTCCTCTAGCACACCCTCAAATTTCTTTCCTTCTAAACTAGCCAGATCACTGCATAGTTCCGCAATGCAAGAATCACCTAATTTTCCAGCTTCATACAGCGTGACAGCATGAGATTTTAGACCTGCAGTAGGTCAATTACGGTGCTTAGTAGTGTGCTTATTTAGGCAATACACTAGGTATTAAACTATTAACAAGTACTACAGACGTCATGTAGATCAGCAATGTACAGGAGAAGAAGGGATCACTATATTTCTATATATTATATAAATATACAGAAGTAAAATCTTAAACATGAAACAGGAAGGTGTCCCAAGAATTGGTGTTCAAGAGATTTCAGCTCCAAATCTCACAGGTTCTGCATTACAAATAAAGATAGTATCTAACCTGGGGACAATGAACCCATCATCAAGTATGAAGTAACATTGGCATCAACAACAAAACCTACATGAGCTGTCCCGGATATTCTCCTGGGTCCATTAGTATCGATGCTAAGCAACTGTTGATTGGACTTTTCTGAGTTGATACTTGCATTTGAACCTTCATCATCATCACTAAGAATGTTACTGAGAGATGGAGGTTCACCTTCGTCTTTAAATACAGAGTCACCATCCACAAGTTTTACAGCCCAGCCCAATCGGCAAGCAAATGATGCCGCTGCCTGCAGCTGATAAAGGTCAGCTTGTAAAGTTGCAGCCAATTCAGCAACAGTAGCATTAGCACTTGACACAACAAATACAGCATAAAGTAGCCTGCAATCAAGAAAATCAGGTAATGGATTTTATCACAATACAACAATGCAAGTGAAATATATATTTGAATAAGAAATGAAGGTCATCATCACACAGAAGGATTGCTAGCACTTACTCTTCGATTGGGTCTTCATAGGATTGATCCTTGTTAGAAACAAAGCCTTCAAGCCTAGAAACTGAACAAAAAGAAACAATATAGTAACCTGAAAACATGTTTTCTTAGCACAAATCGCAACGCGTGCTTATTACTTCAATCAAAGGAACAACATTACACGGCCAATTTACCAATTCTTATTACGAAGTAAGAAAATGACTAGGAGATTTTGATATGATGATCAGCAGCATTAAATTGACACCATTGCATTAAATGGCATTTCTTTTCAAACAATGCTCTTGGGCTTCATATCCATAAGAATGACTAGTTTTATATTGTTGTCTTTTCTAACAATACTAACATGGTGAGCTACACATAGATTGGAAAGCCATAAAAGATCTTGTTTTTAAGATAGCTTTGTTCGCCATCCTTGCATGCAATTTCGTATACTGTAGAAAGCAAAAGAATGTGATCCATGGCAAGGGGTCTCGGACCATGCGACCATGGCAGAGGCATTCTTCGATCACTTCCTCTCACTTCTTGGCTCAGCTTCCTTGGTTCCCACTCGAAAGACTGGACATTCGAGGGGAAAGCTGACATGATGGCAGGTGTTGGAGTACGACGATCCCTTTGCAGTTCGGCTAGGGTTATCGACAACGCACAGAGAGCAAATCCAACAGTTCACACGCGGGGAATTGTCAGGTTCGGGCGGCCATGGAGGCGTAAAACCTTACTCCTGTGTTTGGGTGGCTTGACTTGGGGCTCAAGTTACAAGTGCAGCTTGCCGGAAAAACGTGAACAAGCTGCAACTACTGTGTAAGCATGAGCAGGCTGTCGACCCGTGCCAAGGTAGCCATGGGCCTCCTTTTATAGACGAAAAGGGGTCACCACAGTGGCAACATGCTCATTACAAGTATGTGAATAGTAGTCTTGATGCTATCCACCCTAATCCTGCCGGAGTAGGACAAGGGCATCTAATGCACCGTGAGCTGGTGGCCATCCTTCGGCAAAAGGTGTCTCTCCTGTGCCGTCAACGTGGATGAACCTATCTTCTTGACACGTCCACCATACGGGTGTCAATAAAGTTGATCTGCATGCGAGGTGCCGACACGTGTCCTGTTGACTCCCATCGGGCCACCTGCCCGCTCAACACCTCACCTTGACAAGCCATCAGCTGGTCAATGAGGTGGAGCGGGCGGCGGGCAAGGGAGAGCTTTCCTGCAAGGAGCCTTGGCTTGCCGGTGCGAAGCTTGCCGTCAACTTAAGTCTTGTCCTTCAGTACTAACGCAGTACTTCTCGATGACCTGCCTAGAGGTCCTCTTCACGGTCTTGGTGTCCAAGAGGTGAGGCTTGGGTTGAGCTATCCTCCGGCAAGCCCTTGCCGTCCGGAGGGCTGCAACTGCCTATGCACAAGTCTGGAGTACTAAAGGACCCATGTTTTAGTACACCGACAGGAGCCCCCGGGCCTGGGCCGTACACGCATGTGAGGCATCATTGGGCTAGGCCCAAACAGTGCACAGGCACGCGTGGCAGGGAATAACTGTTGTAATCTTCTCTTTTACCACGCCCCCACAATGCGCATTAAATGCGGAACGTGAGAGAGGTGGAACGAAACGGCTGCCAGGGGTAGTGCACCTGAAAAGCGCAGCCACGTAGGACGGAAAAAAGCCAGCCTCCGCGCCTTCCCCATTAAAAGGAAACCGCGAGAGGCACTGCTCATTTACCCCCTTCCGCTCCCAATCTAGCAGCCGCCTCCTTCTGTTAGAGTTATATTATTGATGGCCTTTGGCCTTTTGTATTCTAGCTTCTTGGCATTCTCTTGTACATGTATATATGATGGCTTTGGCCTCCTAATAATATCAAGTTGCATATTCCTGACATGGTATTAGAGCCTAGGTTCTTTTTTTCCGCACGTTTGCAACTCGTGCTGAATCAATCGGCGGCCGTCTCATCCCCAACTTCGGTTGCCACTGCCCTCCGGTCGCTGATCTGGTAGTCGCCGTTCTCCGGGACCGTCCTCGAGTGGGTGTGCGGGGCGCGCTGCCTTCTCAGGCCCCTGCTTGTGTCGTTTTCTCTCCTCGCTGGTCCAGATTGACGAAGGGCTCGCCTCCCGGTCTAGATCGAAGAGGCTGGGTCTGGCAGCCTGTACGCTTGATCGCTGCTCCCTCCTGGCGCCGCAGCTCCTCCACCGAAGGGGTGGAGGAGCACGTCCTGTCGCCGCCCTGCTAGCTCCGGCCGCCGTTTGCTCTTCGGGCCGGCCGCTGAAGTCCGGCGCGGATCCGCCTCAACTACAAGCTTCGGTCGCGGTGCTCCTTCGTCCCTCAACCCGGCTGCCTCCGCCGCGGATCCCTGGCTTCCGCCGTCGTCGCTGATCTTCTTGCCGGCCGTCGCACCAGCTCCGCCGTTTCCGCTACCTTCTGTGCGCCGCCGCCATATCGCGTTGTTCTACTGTCGCGGAGGCTGAATTGCGTCGTGTGGGGTTTGGTCTTCCGTGAAGCAGGCTGGCTTGGCCCTTGGCTGATTAGAACTGGCCCGTTTCTTTCCATTAAAAAAAAGTACTATGTCATTGTCTTTAGTCACTGGTTGTCCTTTGGTCGTCAGCTCACAGAGGCAGCTTCCATCTTTGCTCGGTGCCCCTCCTCGGGCGTTGTTGTCTGTTACTCCGAATTTCTCAGATGGCAGTAGCCGCTCTTCATCGACTTCCTTTGCGGCCTTCACACGATATGGTGCCTGCTCTACGTCGACTTCTCTCGCGGCTTTCGCATGCGGTGGTGGTCGCTTGAAGCCGACTCCTCCCGCGGCTTCCACGCGCGGTGGCGGTCGCTCTACGCCGACTCCTCTCGCGGCTTCCACGCGCGGTGGCGGTCGCTCTACGCCGACTCCTCCCGCGGCTTCCGCGCGCGGTGGTGGTCACTCTACGTCGACTCCTCCCGTGGCTTCCGCGCGCGGTGGTGGTCGCTCTACGCCGACTTCTCCCGCGGCTTCCGCGCGCGGTGGTGGCCGCTCTACGTTGACTCCTCTCATGGCTTCCGCGCGCGGTGACCGCTCTACCTCGACTCTCGCGGCTTCCGCGCACGACGGTGATCGCTCTATGTCAGCTCTCCAAGTGGCCGGCTCTCCGTCGACTCGCTACTCTCAGTCGACTCTACACGCGGCTTCCATGGGTGGTGGAGTTTGCTTATTATCGGCAGATGTTTCTACCTCGACCCCTTCCGCCATGTCCATGTCTCCTCGTGAGATTGCGCAGCTGCAGTCTCTACTTGCTACTTGGGATTCTTCACCGACAAGATCTGCAGGTTCCGTGACTGACTCTTCTGGCAATAAGAAACCACCTTCTACTCCTTCAGGTACATCCCCATGGATTATTGATACTGGAGCATCTTTTCATATGACCTATGATTCTTCCACTTTGACCTCCATTCGACCTGTTGAGTCTCATGTTCGTGTTCTTACGGCTGATGGCACTCCCCTCCCTGTAGCTAGTCGAGGCACTCTTAGCACTTCTTCATTTCATGTTCCCTCTGTCGCTCATGTTCCTCGACTTACCATGCAGCTCATATCTGGTGGTCAGATTGTTGATTCTAATTGTAGGGTCATCCTCGACTTTGATTCGTGTTCTATCCAGGATCGTCGCACGGGTGCTCTACTTGGTGCTGGCTCTCGACGCTCTGATGGTCTCTGGGAGCTTGACTGGCTACGTCTTCCTTCCGCTGCCTCCGCTGCCAGTCTCGTAACCCCTGTTGCTGCATCTACCAGCTCTTTTCAACAGTGGCATCATCGTCTTAGCCATTTATGTGGTTCTCGTCTCTCGTCTTTGGTTCATCGCGGTGTTCTGGGGTCTGTCTCCGGTAACGCTTCGTTGGATTGTCTGGGTTGTAGGCTAGGTAAGCAGATTCAGCTACCCTATCCTCACAGCGAGTTGGTGTCTGAGCGCCCTTTTGACCTTGTTCACTCTGATGTTTGGGGTCCAGCTCCCTTTGCTTCAAAAGGGGGTCATCGCTACTATATTATCTTTATAGATGATTTTTCATGGTACACTTGGATCTATTTCATGTCTTCTCGTAGTGAGGTCTTATCTATATACAAAAAATTTGCTGCCATGGTTCAAACCAAGTTTTCCACTCCTATTCGTGTTTTTCGCGCAGATTCAGCTGGTGAGTATATCTCCCATGCGCTGCGAGGATTCCTTGCTGAGCAAGGTACTCTTCCTCAGTTCTCTTGCCCTGGTGCTCATGCTCAGAATGGTGTGGCTGAGCGCAAGCATCGTCACCTTCTTGAGACGGCGCGCGCGATGATGATCGCCGCCTCTCTTCCGCCTCACTTCTGGGCTGAGGCTATTACCACTTCCACGTATCTTATTAACATTCAGCCATCTGCTGCTCTACAGGGTGGCATTCCTCTCGAGCGTCTTTCTGTTCGCTCTCCTGATTATTCGGTGCTTCGCTTGTTTGGTTGCGTTTGCTATGTTTTGCTTGCCCCTCGTGAACGCACCAAACTAACCGCTCAGTCTGTTGAGTGTGTTTTTCTTGGATACAGTGATGAGCATAAGGGCTATCGGTGTTGGGATCCCATCAGTCGTCGGATGCGTATTTCTCGGGATGTGACCTTTGATGAGTCTCGTCCCTTCTACCCGCGTCCATCCTCCTCGGCCTTTTCCATAGAGGATATCTCTTTTCTTACATTTCCGGATACACCTCCCCCTGTGCCAAGTATTCCTACTCCTCGTCCTACTGTTGTAGATTCGACACCGTCCTCTCCTACGGTTTCTTCTCCTCCCTCATCACATGACTCCCCACCTTCATCATCGACACCTTCACCTTCTCCATGTTCATCACCGATACCTTCCCCTTCTCCACCTTCATCGATACATTCCCCGTCTCCATCTTCAGTGATTCCACCTCTTCCCTCCTTTCCTTTTCATTATACTCGACGTCCACGTATTGTGGACGAGTCCACTGATGTGCCCTCTACTTCTGGTGTGTCGTCTTCCTTCTCTCAGTCGACTTATGGTCTTCGTTCTCGGCCTTGTCCGCCCCCTGATCGATATTCTCCTTCTCGCTATGGTCTTTCGACCGTTCTTGAGCCGACTTCTTATCGAGATGCTATTGTGCATCCTGAATGGCAGTTTGCGATGGCAGAGGAGATTGCTGCTCTTGAGCGCACCGGCACATGGGATCTGGTTTCTCTTCCTCCCGGTGTTCGTCCCATCACTTGTAAGTGGGTCTATAAGATAAAGACTCGCTCTAATGGTTCTCTTGAGCGTTATAAAGCTCGTCTTGTTGCTCGTGGCTTTCAGCAACAACATGGTCGCGATTACGATGAGACTTTTGCTCCTGTGGCCCATATGACCACTGTCCGTACACTTCTTGCCGTGGCTTCTGTTCGCCATTGGTCCGTGTCTCAGCTTGATGTGAAGAATGCCTTTTTAAATGGTGAGTTGCGCGAGGAGGTTTATATGCAACCGCCACCTGGGTATTCTGTTCCTGATGACATGGTTTGTCGTCTTCGCCGCTCTCTTTATGGCCTTAAGCAAGCCCCCCGTGCCTGGTTTGAGCGCTTCGCTTCTGTGGTGACTGCTGCTGGTTTTTCGCCCAGTGCTCATGATCCAGCATTGTTTGTCCACCTTTCTGCTCGTGGTAGGACTCTTCTTCTTCTATATGTTGATGACATGATCATCACTGGCGACAATTCTGAGTACATTGCCTTTGTCAAGGCCCGCCTCAGTGAGCAGTTCCTTATGTTTGATCTTGGTCCTCTTCGTTACTTTCTTGGGATTGAGGTTTCATCCACCTCTGATGGCTTTTATATTTCCCAAGAGAAGTATATCCAAGATCTTCTTACTCGTGCGGCTCTTAGTGATGAGCGCACTGTTGAGACTCCTATGGAGCTCAATCTTCACCTTCGTGCTTCTGATGGCGAGCCCTTGTCTGATCCGACGCGTTATCGTCATCTTGTTGGGAGTCTTGTCTATCTTGCTGTCACACGTCCGGATATCTCGTATCATGTCCATATTCTGAGTCAGTTTGTTTCTGCTCCCACTTCTGTTCACTATAGTCACCTTCTTCGTGTTCTACGCTATCTTCGTGGCACGATCTCTCGTCGTCTTTTTTTCCCCGTTCCAGCTCGTTACAGCTCCGGGCCTATTCAGATGCTACATGGGCTAGTGATCCTTCGGACCGCCGTTCACTTTCCGCTTACTGTGTTTTTCTTGGTGGTTCTCTTATTGCCTGGAAGACGAAGAAACAAGCTGCAGTTTCTCGTTCGAGTGCAGAGGCCGAGTTACGAGCTATGGCTCTTCTGACGACAGAGGTGACTTGGTTACGATGGTTACTGGAGGATTTTGGTGTTTCTGTTACTACACCTACCACCCTCTTGTCAGACAGTACAGGTGCTATCAGTATTGCGCGGGATCCGGTGAAGCATGAGCTTACCAAGCATATTGGTGTGGATGCCTTTTTTGTGCGCGCTGCTGTGCAGGATCATGTTATTGGTCTTCAGCATGTGCCTTCCGAGTTACAGCTAGCAGATTTCTTCACGAAGGCCCAGACTAGAGCGCAACATGAATTTCATCTCTCCAAACTCGGTGTTGTGGATCCACCATGAGTTTGAGGGGGGCTGTTAGAGTTATATTATTGATGGCCTTTGGCCTTTTGTATTCTAGCTTCTTGGCATTCTCTTGTACATGTATATATGATGGCTTTGGCCTCCTAATAATATCAAGTTGCATATTCCTGACACCTTCATCTTCCTCCTCGCGCAAGAACAAAGCACTCTGCTCCTTCCGCTGCTGCTCCACCGCGCCATTCCTCAATCCCCAGCGCATTCACCATGGCCCCAAAAAGAGCGAAGAAGGCGATGGACCCGGAGGCAGAGAAGAAACTCAAGAGGGAGAAACAGCGGCGGGAGAACACCATCTTCCCGCCAGCGTTGACGGCCGACGACCTAACTTCAAGATATTCGTACGTCTGGTCGAGCCAGACCGACAATCATCCGGCTACAGAAGTCCTCCCGGGGTCGGCTGATCCAGCGGACAACCAGTTTCACTTCTTTGCCGGGTATTTCTATGGCGGGCTCTACCCACCTTTTTCAGATTTCTTCGTGGAGGTCATGCAGTCCTACGGATTTCATTTGCTGGATTTTGCTCCCAATGCCATCACTTGCGTGTCTATTTACGCACATCTGTGCGAAAACTTCCTGCGGATAGCACCCAATCTTGACCTGTTCCGGCACTTCTTCATCCCCCAGATCGAGAACGACGCTCTCTCCGGCAGCATTACCTGGATTCCAAGAACGCGGATGAAGGAGCACTATCTTGAGGGCAAGCTGCACACCAAGTGGAACAAGTGGAGGGCGGATTGGTGCTGGATTAAGCAGGATCCACAAGATGAAATCCCTCCCTTCTGCCGCCTCCGAACCCAGAGGATCGGGAAGGGGAAAACTTGGAGCAATATCGGGCCCAGCAACGCCAAGCTCGGGATGGCGCTGTACAGAATCCACCGTCTCAAGGCCGTCGGGCTGACCTTAAAGGTGGTTGGGGCGGATATCACCCGTTGCCGGATCGCCCCGCTGCATCATAGAGGAGGCCGAAGGGCATGGGAGTACCAGAACCCCAACGACCCAATGTGCCTGCACCCTGGGGCCGACAGCAACTTGCCGGTGATGGAGCACTACTTGCTCATATGCCAGCTCTTCAACAAGGGCTGCGAGTTCCTCTTGCCGGAAAAGGTGGTTCTGCTCTGCAACAACTCCACCAAGGGCGAGACCCTAGCGAAGATACCGGAGTGCAACGCCGACGCCAAGGGGGTTGTGGAGCGGTGGACAGAGCCCTCCAAGGCTGAGGTGGAAAAATTGCTTGCGGGTTTGAAGGAGAAGGCCGTCCGGGTGGAGAACGACATGGTTCACCCCCACCAGAGATGACGAGGCCGTCTTCCTCAAGGCCAGAGCAGAAGAGGCCAAGGAGGCTAAACGCCTCCAGCAAAAGGTCGACGCCACCGGCAAAGGGAAGCAGGTGGTGGAGCACAGGGGAGCACACTGAAGACGGGGCCAGTGCACCCATTGAGGATCACGCCAAAGAGCGGCTCGCTAAGGAAGATGCCGAAGAGCATACCGGCGAGACCACCGAGGATGACGATCCCGTCGGGGAGCACGAGGACGATGAGGAGGAGCTCGCCGGAGAAACGGAGGGAGATGAGTACATTCCCCCAACTCGCACCAAAAGTGCCTTTGCAAAAAGGCCCGACAAGAAGAGGGAAGCACGCCTTGATCTGCTAAGCACGGAGCTTGTTGGGACCCAGGTGGCCGGCAAGGCTTCTCGTGCGCAGCCTTCTCAGCGCCAACGCCCTCGCGTCCCAGCATCTCGGCAATTGACTTCGTCGGTTGCTGGAGAGGTGGGTGCTCCATAGCCCCCAGCTCCTTCAAGGATGAAGCGTGCTAGGAACCCGCCACGACAGGAGCCGAGGCGGCTGCGCTCTACGACTTGTCCGTCCTCAGCGAGCCTGATGAGGAAGAGGAGTAAGCACCCCACCCTCCTGTCATCACGCTTTTTTTGCATCGGTTGTTGATTCTGATCATCACGAACAACTTGTTGTTGATTCTGATCATCACGAACAGTAGGAGGCGGACGGCGGCGGCAGCAGTCAGAGATGCGGTAGCGGCGAGGGAAGAAGGGACAACAGCGGCCGGAAAGATGACGCTGCAGCGCGAGATCCGACCTTAGCACGAGTTGCGCATGCAAAAAAGTAAACTAGGTCTGAAACCATGTTAGGAAAAATGCAACTTGTATTTCCAGGTGGTCATAGGCCGCCAATATATTATGCAGAAAACCCCTTATAGAACGGAGAAAATACAACGGTTACACGGCTAAATATATATAACTCTAACATTTTTCAGTACTTTTCTAAAATGTACGGGCGATGTATTAAATGTTGAACCTGTCAAAGCAAAAAAAACTATTCACTCGCATGTTTGTACAACCTATATGTTTGGTTTCTATCAAAGATAAGAAATTTTAGGACAAATCATTTACGTCATAACTTGATCGAAAAGGGAAAAGGTTATCCAAATCATTTATTGGCAGTCACGAGACAAGATAATACATGCCCATGAAACAAAGAGAAAACATGAATATGGGATTTAGATACAAGACAGCATGAGCAACAACGCCAATCAATTAGAGTAATTTTAACATGAACAAACTAAACAAAGCACTAGACAATTTTAACCTAGGCATTACATGGGTGTCTTATCCTCAAAAAATATTCCATGAACTCTATATACCTTTGAAGCGGTCATCAGTGTAAACAGGCACATCAAAGTACACTAACCCTCTTTTATAGAGGTCATCTATAATCTTCATATCAAAAAGAATATATGAATTGGCTTCCTCTTTGCAGATTTTGTCTATGGTTGCTGTTTCTTCTTCTGAAAGTTTCTACAGTAGATTAATAAACATTAATTCTTATCAGTTCTACATGAGACTACACAAAGAAATGATAGCTTCATATAGACCAAACAAGAAGCTCATCTTCCATACTGAGAAAGAGGGAACCTGACCTTGAACTCTTCCAATGTAAAGTTAACCAGACAAACTCCCCACCAAGGCTCGACTGGGAAGTCAACAGGCTGTGTAGGCAGTAAATCTTTTGCGATTGATTTGTTCAGCTTCCACATTAGTTTCTGAAGAATTAAACAGAGGGAAACCCATCATTTACTAGGATGATCGATCTTGCTGCAAGATAGTTTACCAACATGATAAACCTCTCTAGGTATACTAAGAACAAAGTTAACCTGATTTTCGAGACTTATCATGAACTAAACTAACATGATTTTTTTAAGAGAAAAAAACCCCAGCCTGATAGTATATGCACGGTGTGGTCTAGAACATTATACAGCTCAGATTAACTTAGATTTCTCACAAAAAAAGAGTTGACTAACTTTTATATCTATGCAAGAGTTCATTTATGATCTTAGGATTAAGTTATTATTTATGTTCTGGTTATCTAGATAACACCGAGTAGTTATAGTTAATTACTAGTTATTGTAATAAGAGCATGTACAGTTTGCAAGCGCTCAGAGAGATGCTTAACAAATTAAGCTGATTTGATTTGCCATGTGGACCGCATTGTCGCTTATTTTTTTACTAGAATACACACAAGCGTGCGTATCTTATACTCCCCCCGTTCAATAATATAGTGCGCATAGATTTTTTGAAAAGTCAAACATTGACCAAGTTTATAGAGAAAACTTTGGCATTCTAGATGAAAATGTTTTACTCCACAAACTTGGTCAAAGTCTATGAGGTTTGACTTTTCAAAAAATCTATATGCACTACATTATGGAACGGAGGGAGTATGGAGAAAGGGTATAGAGCCCATCCATGGTACACTGTAACATAGGCACGATGTGCCAATCCACTTAATCCTGTTACATGATTACTCACCTGAACATAGGCACAATTTGCAAGTACGCACATTGTTGCTTATTTTTTGAAGCATGAGTGCTTGATAGGCACCAACACTTAAGAAATGCTTATGTATTTGATTAACACGAATTTCATCCAAGCACCAGCAGGTAGGGGCTTGCATTAATTAATCATTTATGTTCTGGTCTTCTCGATAACACCAAATTGTAGTTATCATAGTAAGAGCATGTAAAATTTGCAAGTGCTTAGAGAGGTGCTTAGCAAACTAGGCCGATTTTTGTCATGTGGGATGGCATTCGTGCTTATTTTGAATCATGAGCGCTTGATAGACACAGGTGCTTATGTATTTAATTAGCACAAAATTCATATATGAATCAGCTTTTGGGAAGGGGAGCCTTGGCGCAATGGTAAAGCTCCTGCCTTGTGACCATGAGGTCATGGGTTCAAGTCCTGGAAACAGCCTCTTACAGAAATGTAGGGAAAGGCTGCGTACAATAGATCCAAAGTGGTCGGATCCTTCCCCGGACCCTGCGCAAGCTGGAGCTACATGCACCAGGCTGCCCTTTTTAATCAGCTTTTTCCTTAAGTGCCCGAGGCTTGCCAATGGTAGGGGCTTGCATTGGAGTAGATAAAATTTACGTAAGTGCTTGATGATGTGGCTAGATACTCTCCCTTTAAGCACTCGCGCATAAGTACCTTGCACTATGCATGCGTAGGGTTCACCAGATTGATGGCTAATTGAATTTATTCTTGCATGAGAAAAGCTAGTATTTCATTTATTTTTCCAAGACTTTAAATCGCATGTTATTGATCTTTCTAATGGATAAATCAAAATCCCGCATAATCAACTATTTAGGCCGATACTAAAAGCAATAGGGCTCAGATATAAATGCATGTGCAAACAGAGGACTAAAAACACAGAGGAAATTAGATCATATCACAGAGAACGTGCAAGAGCACATCCTATCATACGAAGAAACAACAACAACAAAGCCTTTAGTCCCAAACAAGTTGGGGTAGGCTAGAACTGAAACCCATAAGATCTCGCAAACAACTCATGGTTCTGGCAGATGGATAGCTGCTTCCATGCACCCCTGTCCATGGCTAGTTCCTATCATATGGAGAAAAGCAAAACAAATTTACAAGAGTCCAGTCACGACAGGCTTTTCATCTTAAGGGAAAGGAAACAACCGAGGACCAAACCTAGCAGTACACACCCTCAAGCCTATTCCTCATGGTAGTTCATGCAACCAACGGCGATAGACTTCTATGGAAAGAAACCATTTTATTTCATAGTAATGCTATGGTGTTCTTATGGTTAGTTTGGAGTGCAGAATTGGAAATGGAAAACAGAATTTAGCATTCATGGAAACGAAACTTATAGATGAATTTCAAGTGTTGGATCACAATCCATTCAGCCAAAGCCCCTTAAACCCTATGTATGTAAGTATGTTTCACAAGATTGAAAGGGCAATTGTTACCATGAAAATTAAGTAATGAGAACATTGACAATAGTGCAGTACTACCTTTGATCTGCATTTGTTCATAATATCAATAAATTCATTTCTTCCAATACCAGTCAGCCTTAGGGCATCAGCAGCAGTGAAGTTTGGAATACTATCATATGGTTGTTCTGCAATGTAATTACACATGTAAGAAATATACATAAATATTGTTGATGAATAAAGCAAGTAAAAATCCCATCAGTTGTGATATTTCATCTCATATTTCACCGTGGCTCCAAACTATTATTGGGATAAGCAGTAAGAACACAACGTCCCAATGCTGGGAAGTGGGATGCTGATGCACTTTTTTTTCAGAAAAGGCAAAGCTTGTGTTTCTATCCATTGGTAGAAGAAAGATTTACAACCGTACAAGCCCAAGACTAGGCCAAAACAAACAAGCACTCAAGACAAGACTACGACAGCGGCTGCTAGACAGACACCATCCACACAAACACACAGCACGGAAACCCCGCCACAGGAAGCGACAATCCAACTCTGCGAAGAGGGCAAAGTTGGGCCTCTCCCGCTTTGGAGAGAAGACACATGGCGTCGTGGACCACCGGTCTCGCACCGCCGCTAGTGCCGAGGCCACCACACCTCACCGCATCCCTTGATCCTTGTCCATCGCAAGATACTCCAACATCCGTTAGTCAAAACCCCTCGAGAACCCCAGGCTTGGCCCCTGCTAAGGCGTCAGGCAGGGGGGTCTCTAAGTAAGCACCCTCGTTCAGAAAGGATGTTGCTCTCACCAAAGCTCCAGGGGATTCTTGCTCCCTTGGGGGTTCCTCGATCCCAAGACCGCACTTGGGCAGAGCGACCACCGGTGGGGAGGACAACGCCCCGGGAGTTGGGGCCACGGCTGTAACGTTTAGGCTCGGCTGCTAATCATAAACCTTTGTGCAGCCTTCGAGAAGAGCAAACCAAAACAAAGGCGCCAAAGAAACTCACATGTCAGATCTAGGAATCCAGTTCACCAGCCTAGCCCACCTAGCGGCTGAAGGCGGCAATCGAACAAAGCCGCCGAAGGGACGAAACCACTTCACTTTGATCGCCAAAGAACACGAACGTGGCTCCCCACCAGCCAAGGGACCAAGAAAGGGGCCCCTTCCATTCCCACTGGCCATCAAAGAGAGCCAGAGGAGTTTGGACAAAGAGGAAACGAACAAACCATAAAGGAATCTGTCGTGGGAGTAAGTCTGACAGTAAGGATAGGGGATACGAAGGATGAAGCAAGGCCCTAACTACGGCGAGGTTGTACACACGAGTTTTATGAATTCAAGCCCCTCTCGGAGGAGGTAACAACCCTACGTCTCGGTGCCCGGAGGCTTGTCGACTGGAATGTGTGTGTGAGTTACAGGGGGTGTGAACCCTTGTGCCAGAGGAGGGGGGTGGCTTATATAGAGTGCGCCATACCCCTCCAGCCCTCAGTTACACAGGGTTCAATGTAAGTTAAGACAGAGGCGTTACTGGTAACGCCTGCTATAATGACCATTAATGACCTTTAAGACTACGGAGTGAACGCCTGACCGTTGCCATCCTGAGGTGGCTTTAGATCTTCTGTACTCCGGGTGATTCTTCGACGGTCGAGTGACTCTATCTTGGTCGAGTGGAATTGGGGTATCCGAGTGGAATAGTTGGTCGAGTGGCTTGCACTCCAAGGTGATTTCAGTCGGTATCTTCTGTTGTACTTCAAATGTCTTTGACTCTAGGGCAATGTCCTTGGGTAGGGCGTCTAGGTCAAGCCTATGACACTACCCTAAGTACATGGCATCGCCATTAGCCCCCGAATGAATTGAGGTCCGAGTGAAGTAAGGTTGAAGCTGTTTCCGATTCGATTCTATGCTTTGGGGGCATTTCATCGGAGTCTGGAAATCGTACTGGAACTTTAACCTTGCGTCAGTCGCCTCGATCGATTCTGTGGTCGTCGAGTGAATTACGTCGTAAATCTTCGAGTGACTTAGAGTGTGAAATCTTCGGCGCGGTTGATTGCTCTGCGGTTCCTGGATCTCACGGGATTCGAAATTTTGGAGAAGCACACGGGACGGAGCGCGGCACAGTAAGCGGAACAGATAGACAGAGGCGCCTCAATTTCCGCGCCATCTTTTTCGCCACGTATCGGGCGAGCATCTGCTGCGGGATGTGATAAGATCGCTTGGGCCCACCGATCAGCCACTCGGAAGCAGCCCCATAAAGAGTGCTCGGGCCGATGCAATGCACAGTGCTCCTCATTCGGTCCTCTTCTCCTCTGCTTCTCCACCGCGCATCTCCCCGCTCTCGACGTTCCGCCTAGTCCGCGTGCACGCCACCGCCATGGGGAAAGACAAGACCGCGGCCCTGGAGCGCGCGAAGGTGTCAGCGCGGCGAAAGGCAAAAAGACTGCTCGGGGGTCGTCGTCGCGGTCCGGTCTGCCGCCTGGTTGGATTCAGGGGGACTGGATCCGCTCCACCGTCGTGCAGGAAGATTTGAAGAGGCTCGCCGAGGACGGCATGATTGCTGACAAATCTTGGAGGCTGCCGGAGGGGGAATCCGAGCCCCGGCCGCATGAGGGTGAGCGTGTCCTCCTCACCACACACGTCGATCGAGGTTTTTCCTTTCCCCCGCATCCGTTCTTTCGGGGTTTCTTGAACTTTTTCGGTGTCCAGATTCACCATTCCCCGCCCCCACCCCCAACACCATCACATATCTCACTGCGTACATCTCTTTGTGCGAAAACTTTCTGGGCTGCCAACCACATTGGGATCTCTTCAAACACATCTTTACTTGTCGTTCTCTTCACTCGGAGTGTTTTTTGAAACTTAGACGAATACGGGATCGCAGCTAAGCCCCCGAGTGAGAGGGTTGCTCTTCACTCGGAGTATTTTTTGTAACTTAGGCGAGTGCGGGATCGCAGCTAGGCCCCCGAGTGAGAGGGTTGCTCTTTACTCGGAATATTTTTTATAACTTAGACGAGTGCGGGATCGCAGCTAAGCCCCCGAGTGAGAGGGTTGCTCTTCACTCGAAGTGTTTTTTGAAACTTCACG